TCTAAGCTTATCGACAGCATTTCATGATAGTATTCGTGATGCGCAACGTGCAGGTACATCATCAAACTTCTCATTTTGATTTTATGTGTTTTCATATGAATTTATGGTGGGCATATGAGATCAAATAATTAGATGTATTGAGTTGATAAAATTAAATGGAAAAGTTGATAATATTTGAGAATTCGAAATGAATTGAAAGATTTCAAGCGTGTCATGAATGCTGCAAAAAAGAAATAACAGTATTCAATCAAAAGCCATAGCTAATGGTCCAGACGAAAAATTAATTTGTGAACATATTTCGATTAATTTGACCTCAGTTACATGCGTATTCATGAAGCAGTCTGTTTGATGCTTGAAATAATGAAGTTTTTTGTGAATGGCATCATGTCGCATTCAGATTCAAATCTTCTTTTTGTTGCAGGTGTGAAGTTGACTCGTTCGGAACGAATTGCTCTCGAGGGTACAGCTGGGGCGATGGAAACGTTAATTTCGGTGGATACGTCCAGCATTGACCATCGATTACCCACACCAGAAACAATGAAGCAGTTGTACAACGGCATACCTTTCGATGAGCTACCAATCGTCTTCATCAAAGCATCCAAGAACAACACACTTGTGATGGTCACCGATTATAAAGTGAATTCGTTTTTGATCTCATTGATTTTGCTCCTTTTTCTGTTGATTCCCCCGTAGTTCCTCTTGATTTGTCCTTATGCAAATTCTATATTTCATATGTCAACATGATCGCATCTAACGTTAAAATCAAATTCATGATTTTAACATTAGATACGATCATGTTGATGTATGAAATATAGAATTTGGATAAGCTTGAAATATGAAATTATGTGCCGTAATGTTTAGTTTATGAACTGTTAGTATTGGCGATTTAAAGGCAATTAAGATAAGTAATATTTCAGTTCAATATAATCACATATACATCGTGTCGATTAGAAGGCTTCAAGAACGCTCGTAAAAAGACAACTATTGCTGGTCAAACGACTGGAGTTGCAGCTGGGCAACGACTGGTTCGACGAGGCATCCGAACAGTTCGGGTACAGGTTAGGCGATTTTACGCATTCTTACATCGCTTTTTTCGTGATTCATTCGGAATTCGTGTTACTGAATTATTTCTTGGTTCGATAATTCAAAGGAATAGATGTGATCAATTGATTTAACCTGGAAAATAACATCAGAAGTGATACGTTTGGTGAAAACATGTTACCACTTAATAATTATAAAATAAGAATTTTTTGAAATTTATATTTTCTTCTCACGTCAGTGATTTGGTATGACTTTTTCATAAGTGTGTTATCGTGACCGTATTAGTTTTTTTTTTCAATTGAAAGTATTTTGCAAAAAAAGAGAAATTTAATGACTGAATCAAACTTCAGGTAAGGGGCATAGGACCTGGCCGGATGACGTGTGTGAAAGGCTT